GACGGGAAATCAGATCTCATGACCGGCACTCTAGTGTGCCTCTGCCATGTAACACGCTCTCTCTCAGAATTCAGTCCTACAGAAAAATGTTCTTCATAAAGGCAATGAGGTCACCAAAATGAAATTGCATTAAGGACAGTTATACACAAAAACAGATCTAGAAGTAGTACACTGGTCTACTTTTACAGATATCCTGAACTACTTAATGTTTATACCTCAACACAATTTCTCTCAATTTGGTTATTTCAGTGGTGTTAAGGATAATTTCCCTTTGGCTGGTTGAGGTGAGTTGCATACAGGCTATCCAGAATGTCAGAATACGACCTGATTTGGAAACAGCCTGTGTAGATATAACTAAGGTGAATACATCATCATACTAGATTAGGGTGGGGCCCAAATTCAAGTAGAGTGCCCTTGTGAGAGACATAGAAAAGACGCAGCAACACAGCGGAGCTGTGACAAGGGAGACAGAGGTTGGATTTACACTGCTACAAGCCAAGGAATGCCAGAAGCTGGAAGAAGCAAGAAAAGATCCCCCTTACAGCCTTAGGCGGGACTTTGTTGCTGACACCCTGATATCACACTTCTGGCCACCTGAGCTGTGGAGAGAATAAATTTCTGTTCTTTAAAGTGACTCAGTTTTTGCAAACTGTTATGGGAGCCCTAGGAAATTAAAACAATAATATGAAGTGGTTCTTGTAGAATTTCAAGGATTCTTTAAGTGTTATATAACACACTACGCATTCAAGGGGATTTATCCTTTAATAGACTATTTTTTCTCTCCTTTGTTTTCTGTGCAATTTCCTTTGTGTTATACAAATTATTCTCGTGCTTGGGTTTATTTTTACACGGGCTTCCTCATTTTCTGATTTTTGTTGGTGTTTCATTGTTCTTGTTTGCTTATCTGTTTCTGTCCAAAAGGGAGACTATTTAGTCATACACTGTGTTGGTGTGATTATTTGTTGGTTTCTGTGAGGGAGATTTGAAAGTAGGGGATGGCTGGATAACAAAATCTTACGGCTGTTGGTGGGTTTAAATCTGATGGAAACAGAAGGGTGGTTTAGACTATGGAATGGTTATAAGCATCTCTAAGGAGTAAAAGACATTGTTTTGTTTTTGTTTTTAATTTGGAAACTCTGGGTTGATAAAGTTAAACAAGTTTCTTTCCTGAAGGACTTTTAAAAGCTTTTTTTAAAAATAATGCTAACGTGGGGCCGGTCGAGTGGCGCGATGGTTAAGAACTGGCTTGGGATGCCAGAGGGCCCCGGTTCAGATCCCACATATGAGGGCCAGTGACACTGCCCTCCACAGCTAAAATGCTGAACAACAGCTCAACCTGGAGCTGGGCTGCCATGAGTCGCCGGCGACGGCGTAGGCTGCAGCCCCTGTGGTAGTGGGTTGCCATGGGCTACCGTATGTAGCCAGCAGCCAGCGTGAGCGGCCAGCAGCCACAGTGAGCGGCCGTCCAGAAGCCGGCGACTGATCTGCCTCGCCAGAGAAGAGCGCAATGATGGTGCCAACTTGGGCCAGTGAAGCAACATCCTCCACAACTAGACTGAAGAAAAAAACGACAGCAACTTGTCTGTTCCCCTTCCCCCAATTCCCCAGCACTGTTCCCATCCCCCCAATTCCCCAATAAAAATCTTAAAAAATAATAATAATAATGCTAACGTTCACTGTAAGTTCCCAAAATGGGCAAACGCACTGCATTTCCAGAACTTATCTAACCATGAGATATAGAGACAAATCCCACCACCACCACTTTACCGGTATTTTTTGAGAAATAAGTTGAGGCGAGTATCCCCTTATCAGGAAGAAAGATTTTTGGACCTGAGTCAAAGGGTAGAAAAAAGTCCAAGGAGAAACCACTGCTGGAGGTGGCTAACTGGGTTTTGGTAAGCATTCTCAGGACACTCAAAGAAGGCTAGTGTTCCTTGTGTTTTTTCTCCTCTTTCCAAAACCTACAGGTATACATACAGAACACTAGAAGCACTTCTGGTAGCAGTGTGTTCTTTTTACTCCTTCACTCAATTTGTAATGCCACAAGGAATAATAATAAATGCTGAATATACAAGAGGAATAAAGTAACCCTTGACCTTCAGGAGATCTCCATACAATAAATTTCCGTCACCTTATTAAAAAGTTCCTGTGCTGGCCTGTGCCTGACAAGCTCTTATCATCTTCTAAGGGAACAGTCCTACCGTGTTTCCCCGAAAATAAGACCGGGTCTTACATTATTTTTTGCTCCAACAATCTACACTTATTCATTTATTCATGTACAAAAATCTACATTTACTCAAACAGTCATGTCTGGCTGACAATCTTAACTGGGGCTTATGTTTGGGGTAGGGCTTATATTACGAGCATCCTGAAACATCATGCTAGGGCTTATTTTCCAGTTAGGTCTTCTTATCTGGGAAACTTGGTAGGTAGACAAATTCTGAACCACACCACCTGGCCTCCCTCTCCCTTACCAAAGGCAAAACTGACTCGTTCATGGACAGTTCCCTGAACTGTGGTGTCGTGAGCATGTAAGCCAGCCTGCAGACTGAGGTGGCCTTGCGTGAAAAGCTTGGGCCAAGCAGAAAATGAGGACCAGAGTTACCCTGCTAGGAATCTCCCCTGGGCAACAGAGAAGACCAGGCAGTTAATATCAGGAAAAGCAGCTGACAATGGGATTGGTCAGGGTGATGCGCCATGATATTTGCTGCTGAGTTGAGGGAGGCTCAGGACAAAAAGAATCAGGTCCTGGACTATCTGAGGATGTCAAACGCCCTTCCACCATATCAGCCTCCATGAGGCCCCACTATGCAGCTGCCCCTGGAATTCCTGGGCGATTTCTAGCTCCCTTACCGCAATATATAACATGGTCTCCCTGCTTTCACCCGGAGTTCTCCTTTAAAACTCTAGGTCAGGGCATGCCATCACTATCCTCAAAACCCTCTAACACCTCCCCTGCGCTTGCTCAGGTTAAAGGCCAAAGTCCTTCCAATGGCTCCCAGACTCTATATTCTCTGCCTCCAGCCACACTGGCTCCTCTTGACATTCCCAGAACAGGCCAAACATTTGCTCGTTTCCTGTTTCTGACAACATTCCTCCTCCAATGGACAACATAGCTCATTCCAACACTTCCTTTAGACTTCTGCTCAAATATCACTAAAGTCAGACGGGACTGCACTTACCATCTGATATAAAATAACATCATCTCCTCCCCAGCACAGATCACAACCTGACATTTTATGTATATTGTCTGAATTTAAGGGATTTTTCTGGTTTTGCACCTTCTTTTTGTGACCTGATTAAAACAAATGATGCTGTATTCTTTTACTTATCTGAATCATTACATATATTTATTTTTCCTCTAATGTAATACCTAGTAACTTGATAGATACCATCTTTAGCACATGCATAACTAAGGGTTTACTTTATTCAATTTTGTGAAAGTCTCACATAACTAATATAAACTACACTAAAACGTATAATTACAACTGGGGTATAACATGTTACGGGTATTATACAGAGAAGAGAGAAAATTATTCTCGATAATTAGAATCATCATTCTGTAAAAACAAAAGGAGTTTCCAAGTGTATTTAGGAAAACCACACACAAAATTAAAAATTTCGCAAAAGTATTTAAATAAAATGTTCAAATAAAAATCAGTTAAACTTACTAAGCTTGATATTCCTAGAATTATTTTTTGTTTGCAAAAGCTATAAGAATATAACCTTGTTATACATAAAACTGAGCATTTAGGACTATAGGCAATACTTCAGAACATCAAACTTACAGAAAGACTGGCACTGGTGTACCATTCAACTACGAAATACTGTAATTTAATCCAAGTATCACATATCTTATTTAAGATATTCATTAAACAATGACATTTTAAGAAAAAAGCAGTCAAAGCTGATAGTTATTCAAACACAGTACCATCTTATTTTTGAAAAAACATAAACCTATGTTAATAAGAGCAAACCATTCAATAAACACTTGAACTGAGTTTGAATTCCTAAATTGCTATCTTTAGCACATTTGAATTAATCACTATATTTAGCAAGAGATAACAATAACCATAATAAACTAAAACCGAACTTAGAAAATAAGTCTAACAACAACAAAAAATTTTTGTCTCTTAACTGGTTCCGTGACTACATCTATTTTCTCCTAATACATAGATATTTCAGAAAACAAGACGCTCCCGTTCAACTAAACAATATTCAACTGTTTCTGTACCTTTGATCCCCCAAATTCACCCAATCAGGAGTATTTTCATTTGCTTGCTGGTAAATCCCACAAAAAGTCCAATCAATTTATCCATCGCATCGCCCTCTGCAGTTGAAATATAGTCAGAAAAATGGAAACGTTCAAAGCAGTTGGAAAAGCAGTGAGGTTCCAAAGGATGCCAGTTGAGATCTTTTGTTGGAAAAAACAAAACCAAAAAACTACTTCTTAAAAGTCAACAGGTCGGGCCGGCCGAGTGGCACAATGGTTAAGAACTGGCTTGGGACGCCAGAGGGCCCCAGTTCAGATCCCATATATGAGGGCCAGTGACACTGCCCTCTACAGCTAAGATGCTGAACAACAGCTCAACCTGGAGCGGGGCTCTCAAGAGTCGCCAGCGACGGCGTAGGCTGCAGCCCCTGTGGCAGTGGGTTGCCATGGGCTACCGTGTGTAGCCAGCAGCCAGTGTGAGCAGCCAGCAGCCGCAGTGAGCAGCCCTCCAGAAGCCGGCGACTGATCTGCCTCCCCCGGGAAGAGCGCAATGATGGTGCCAACTTGGGCCAGTGAAGCAATGTCCTCCACAACTAGACTGAAGAACAAAACGACAGCAACTTGTCTGTTCCCCTTCCCCCAATTCCCCAGCACTGTTCCCATCCCCCCAATTCCCCAATAAAAAATAATAATAAAAAAAATAAAATAAAATAAAATAAAATCAACAGGTCAAATACACTTCACAGCTGGAAGCACGGGTCTTCAGAGCATGAAAAATCTTGCCACTTCAATCAGCAGATTTAAAATGCTCCCGGTCCACAGTGGGGTAGATGTGGCCCTCCCTCATCAGACATTCAGTGGCTTCCCGGATGGCACTGACGCTCAGGCTGCGAAGCTCGACCTGCAGGTCATGAATGCTCATGCCTTCCTGGCGTGGACACTCGTGAATCAAACGCAGCACCTCCTCCCGGATGAAGTCGAGGTTGGACTCGCCGTACTCCAGAGCCTCACCCACTCCGGATGCAGCCTCACCCACTCGGGATGGAGCAACAGGTGCGCTCAGCCCAGAGGCCTCTTGCAGGCCTTGAGCCACCATCGTGTGTGCGTTGACAATTTCCAGAATATGTGCGGTGCACTCATTCATATCTTCCAGGATATGGATATTCAATACCTCAAGGCACTTCATCCCCGCATAACCTCTGAGAATACCGAACACTTTGGCATATACTCCCACCAGAAACACAGTCCGCCGCTGCTTTGCTCTGTCTCGGCCGAGCCATTCGCGGACTTCTATAGGCCTGGTGGTCATATCATCAATCTTGTAACGAATGAAGTATGGCGCTCTCTCCACCTTCCTGATGATCCCCACAATTGAGACATGGGAAACCTGCATTCCCCTGATCTTGAAAACACCGTCAACCAGAGAGGCCGTGAGCAGCTGGTTTACGCTACACGGTACTATGTCCCAGAGTCGAGCCCTGGATCTTGGGGCCATCAGGGCAGGAGCTGCGCCGCCCTGAGAGGGTTGCTCACTGCTCCCACTGGCTCCACCCGCAGCAGGGATGCCGCCGTGGCTCTCAAACGCATTCTTACTCATTTTACCGACAGCTCAGGCAGATGAGGTGGCGGGATTCGGCTCCGGTCAGCGAGTTCCTCAGGCCGGAACCTCTGTTCGGGGTGAGCGCCGAACGTGTGCTTTGTGACGACACCAGCGCCTTACGCCACGTCTGGAGCCAATCAGCTTCCAGAATGCTGCTCCAGCCAGCCAATCAGAGCCTGTCACCTTCTCGACTGAGCCCATAATTCCTTGGAGTCGGCTCGTACTTCCTGGGCTACATTTGTAAGGCCCCGTGTATAATTTCAGGCCTTTCCTGCCATCATATGAAAATGCATTTTTGCTAGCCCCCAATTCTTTTCTAAATGTCACACTACATATATAGTCACGTCTTAAAGATTAATTTATTCAATCGAGTTAACCATCCAACGGGAGCTTCGGAACACATAAGTGCACTATAGTAAAGTGCTATAGATGAGGGGGACGAGGGGGTGAAGGAGACGGGGTTGGGGGATGCCGGGAAATGACGAGGGTATACCGCCATGGTTACTGTTCTGAAAGAACTCACTGTCTTGTTCAAATCACTAAAACCAGAAGCATACGTCTTTAGTCACTTCTTAATCAGTTAACCATTCACCAGAAATTTCAGAACACGTAAGGGCACTATAGTAGAGCACTGTACGTTACAAGCGGGAGCTGGGCGGGGGGAGGCGGCGCAGCAAGGGGGCAGGGGCAACGTCAAGGGGGGCAGGGGGACCCCCATCATGGTTACTGTTCTCAAAGAACTCACGTCCTTGTTCAAATTATTAAAACCAGAAGCATTCTAAACAAAATGGCAAGACAGCCACCTTTGATTATTATAGTGAAAGCTAAGTTACATCTTACCACTGCGTTTTTAAATATTTTATTGTACAATTATAATTTCCCAGTTCTGCCAAATTCACTATAGATGAAAATAAATATTGATGACTATTGAACAATGCGGGTCCACTTATACCGATTGTAGTTCACACCCGCACGGTTCAAGGGTCAACGGGCAGTTTGGAATCCGTGTTATGGAGAAGGCTAACTTAAGTTATAAGCCTATTTTCAACTTGGCTGGCGATCGTTGCCCCTAATCCTCATGTTGTTCAAGGGCCAACTGTAGTAGGATCTATTTCAAATTATACATAAATCCAAATGGAATGACAGAACACTAAGTTATTTTTAAGGCTCTGTGGATAGGTCAAAGAAGTACAAGATGTGGTCCCTATTAAATACTAGGAAAAACATAAAGTCAAAATATGGTTTATACATATTCTTATCCAGTAATTTCTAAATTTAAGAGTCTAGCAACTATGTTAGTAGATCGAAAAATATTTTCATATTATACTGAAAATCTACTTTCCTTATAAAAACATTTAATTTGGGATATAATTAATAAAGAAACATCGATTATTCTTTGTACCTAGGTAATAGTCTAAATGGATAGTGTTTTGAAGAGTTTATTAATACTTTCCAATTTCTTTTATTAGTCAAAATAATTTAATGTTTGCTATCCCAAATTACAGAAATGTATGAGTAGCATATCTAAAAATTATAGAAGAATGTAAAATTATATTTATTTCTCAAGTTAAAAAGGAACAATATCATAAAGCCAATATACTGATTTTGTTTTACAAATAAATAATATAATTATATAAGTATACATTTTTCCATGTAAATGTGTATGTTTAACTTCTAGATTCATGTTTACATAATCAAAGAGGAATTAACATTCAAGTAATTTTTGTATTCTTAAAATTGCATGATTAGTGATCAGATTTTAACTATATTTTTTAAATGTTTACATCCTCATCATCAGACACTGTTGTTTTATTAGCTAACATCAGACATCTGGTCAGAAAAATCTTGAGGTTCAAATGACATGAATGATTATACTCCCAACCATTATATACAGTACAGATTGTATAAATCATACCAAAACAATAAGAGTCACTTACCTGACAGGATTGCTGGTTAAAGAAACCCTCAGAGATTCTAGGCAGTTAAGAAGTTTTTCATCGGAAATACCAGATCGTAATTCATGAACATATTCTTGTGAAGATAGGGTGCATTCATGTTTGCTGTTTTTCAGCCCTCCCTATATATAAAAGAAAAAATAAATACACATATATATTATTTAAGACAACCAAAACTTTTTTTAAACTTTTAAGATAATGCATAGAATATGCAAATATTTTACTGTATAAAAATGTGTGCAGAGTACTAGGCACTTCAAACATTGTGGTCATAGAATTGATGTGGTAAAGCCATGTTATGTATATCTCAACACTCCCCTCAGCCTCATTTAAAAGAAAATTATACTGCTGGTGCGCATGACCTGAATAGAACATGGACTTGAGTGTAAAAAGTTATCACTGACAGGAATGCTTCAATTTACAATCCAGGCATTAGGATTAACATTAGCTGGTCCTCCTTAACCCACTGAATGAACATTTAGAAATCATCTTATTAATTTTCCTAGCTAAGATATTTATATTCCATTTCACAAAATACAACAAATATAATTTAATATAAAACATTATACATTACCCAAAACTATTGTAATATCAGACGATCAGCCTACATTATACATTACCCAAATCTATTGAAATATATCAGACTATCACAAAAACAAGTGAAAACGGTTTTAAAATGCAAAAACAATATAGTCTCTAATTAGCACATTAGTTAACGAAATTAGTCTAAAACAGGGGTTGGCAAACTTTTGAGACAGAAGAGCCGCCAGGAGTCGGCAAACTGCAGCTCGTGAGCCACATGTGGCTCTTTGGGTATGTACATGTGGCTCTGAAGTAAAATTGAAAATGAAAATAAAACTACCATAGTTTCATTTATACAATTTTTAAAGGATATTATTCACATAATGGTGATTATGTAAAAATATATTTATGGCTCTCGAATAATTTTTCAATTGTTGTGAGGGACAGGATTGGCTCTTCCAGGGGTTGGCAAACTTTTGAGACGGAACGTACCCAAAGAACCAAATGTGGCTCACGAACCGCAGTTTGCCGACCCCTGGTCTAAACTATTCACCAATTCCCACGTATTTCTTTCTAACTTTGTTAATCTCGTGTTGTAGATTGACCTTAGAAAGTCGTTAAATGAATTTATCTGATAGTGACTAGTTTTTTACTTAATTTCCAATATACGTGGGGTTACTTCCCGAGCTCATTATTTCATCACAGCTCTTTAGCTTCGTCACCTTGCCATAACTATGTAAGTAGTTTGAGGAAACGGCTGGGAGGAAAATATCAACACACTCATTGTACTAATAGCTCACAGTTTTACATTCTACACACACATAATCATAACTTACCTTTCCTATATTACAGGCATGTCCCTCTGAATTAAAACTCAAGCTTGAGTCCCATTTTCTAAGTTCATACAAATTATACTCAGTTTCTGCTAAGTATCTAAGCTACAATAAGGAAAGCATTATTTTTCCCATTTGGTAGAAGTCATATTATTAGAGGATACAGAATTTAAAAACAAAAAACAATGTGTTAATAATGAGAAATGGATTCCCTAGGGTTTCATATACTATTTGGCTTTTTATTGAGAATGCCTTCTCAATATAGAAATTGTCAATCATTCTTAATGTCTGAATTTTTTAAAATTCCATTAAATAGTAAAGGTTTAAAGTCTGACAAAGTCTTCTGTAGGGGAGAACTCACTTCCCTTCTAGCACTGTGGTGCTTCACTCCTATAGTACTTGAGACACTGGGGCAGAGGTCATTATTAGTACCTCTCTCTCTTCTCGCCTGGGAAGTCCACATACGCCAAGGACCTAACACGGTGACTGAATTGAGTGAGCCTCAACGAAAGCATGCTGTTATTGAATCTGTCCTTAACAATTACACAAGGAATACAGTTTCTTACTTTTAGCTCCCATATTTTGTGTACTGACCACTGATCTGATTATTCTTGCTTTGTTAGGATATACAGTAGATGTTCAAAAAGCCTACTGGATAAATCACCACATATATGGCACAGTAAGTAAAACCATCACCATGAAATCACTTCCACATTTCTATAACTTATTTATCCACCTTTTAAGGCTACAAATCCACAAGGAGTAATAGCACGTAAATATTTATAGCATAAAATTGTGCAAGTTTACTGCTACATACCACTTTCATATGATCCTCAAACTTTTTTCTTAATTAATGGATAACAAGACCCTACTGATTCTCCCCTAGAGGCTTGCATCCAGGCTTATTCCTGTAGAATAACCTTTGCATTTGCTGTTTTCTCTGCCTAGAAGACTTTGACCCCTGACATCTCCATCGCTGGCTCTCATCATTTAAGTTTCACCCCAAAAGTCTTCTCCTCACCAGACACCAATTATCATCACAATACCGTTTTAAACCTCACAGTATTAGCTTTATTAAGTTTATCTTGTTTAGCACTTTGTTTACTGTGTTTTCCTCATTAAAACATAAGCTCTATGAGGCAGGAATCGTGCCTACCTTGTTCACTTCTGTATCTTAACACCATGCTTATCAGCACACAGTAAGGACTCAATACGTATTTCTTGGATGGATGGATAGATAGATGGATGAAGGGATAGATGGAGAATAAACAAATGGGTGAATGACATGAGTTTCAACATGCTGAAGCTTCCAAGCTCAGTTTAGTTTCACTTCAGAATATTACAGTTCTGAGGCATTCCATTGCAATATATTCAGAGATGCTAGTATAGAAGAGGTAAATTGAGACAGTGTATGATGGCAAGCTGGGGAGAGCTCAAACTGCCACTGAGTTTGAATCATGGCCCCCTCACTTACCTTCCAAGTAATCTTTGAGCAGGCTGTTGACCTAATCTCTATAAATCTCTTTGCTCATCCATGATACAGGGGTAATAAACACCTACCCCTCATGTTTGTTATGAGGATTAAGTAAGACAATGCATATAAAGTGCCTGAAACAGACATTTCACATGTGTTGTCTCACGGAGTAAGCTGCTCAGAAAATGTTAGTTCCCTTCGTCCATATGGTTGTGCCTGAGATACTCTCTACGGAACATTTGGGCCAGCCCATCACCTTGGGACTCACCCCTCCCCCAAATCTTAGGAACAACTTTAAATTATGCAATTTAGGATATCCTGTGGTTATAAGCAGTGGAAGTAAACAATTCAACGGGGCAAGGCAGAAAATATATAGCCTCATAGAACAAATGCCTTGATTAAGCTTAGAATGACTTTGTGGTTTTAACATAAGTTCATATATGAAAACATGATAACATGTAAAGGCTGGACTGGCCCTTAAAGATTAGCTCTTCTAATACCCTCATTACAGAAATAGAGAATCGAGGTAAGGTGATTACCCAAGTCCACATAATTAGTGAGGCTACGAGAATAAAACACTAATATTCTGGTCCTCGGTAATTTCCTTTTTTTCTACAACATGTCACTTTTTCCCAATATTGAATAAAAAATTAAAGCAACAAGTATTTAATTCTGAAATCTCTATTACAAACTGTCAAACTATCTTCAGTATAATCAATATAGTGCAACATAATATTAAGGAAATCACTGGAAAACAAAACAGTGCAATAGATTAAACTAATTCTCACTATATTTAATAGGGCTGTAATACAAAACTGGCTTATTATTAACATCCTGTTCTGATACTGAACAAAGGAAACAACTAGATAATGGATGGATAATAATGGAAATTTTAATTAGCTGCTCTGTATGAGATTAATGAAAATTACCACTGTGCCCATTTGATCTTTAAAAAATAATGCAGACAAAGTTAGCAATTAGCATACATCATGCTACTCCAAAGCTAGGTGAACAAAAAGCTTTCCTAATTTGAATCCATTCTTTAATTTGAAAAGCGTTAAGACGGAGACGCTTGTCAGTGTGACTGTGCTTGTCTTATTGTAAGACACTACAAAACCAAAAGGTACTAGGCCAGTTTAATAATCACATCCCCCTACCCTAATATGAAATGTTAGTATCAAAGCCAAATGAGCAATATTCTAAAAGGAATATTTTAAATTTACTGTCGAGATGCCACTTCCGATTTTAGGTTGACTTTGAGCACAATCTGTTGTTTTTTAATGTAAATATCCAGATTTACTGGTACTTTGAGGAAAGGCTTTATATTTCTAAGCTGTAAAGGTATCTTGCTGCACTCACTATGAAGAACATATTGATTGTACACTGGTCTTTTCAACTACAGCGTGCACACAAACACCAATTACTATCAGTGGTGTCATCTTCAAATAGGAAGGACAGTATGATTGTCATGAAAACAATAATATTGTTACTATTACTGACCATGATTTTAAAACCTAATGTAATCAGGTTTCTTTGGCTACTTTAATCAAGTGAGTTTCTTATCTATCATTGCAGTTCCCTGAAAAAGCAATGTCATAGATGAACAAATTTGAAATTGTATCTGCAAAGGTTCACAGTGTTGCTGAGAGGATTCTAAAACTTTAAAAGCACAGGAAGTCAAAAAGCCATTTTCCTCATCATCAGTTCCTGGAGCTCCAGTAGGAGAAGGATACACAAACAAGTGCCTGATCCAAGTCGATCTACGTATTTATTCTAATAGCAATGCATTCGGTGGGCTATGCGATTTTGAATGCTAAACTTTAGGTGGCTTCTCTCCAGTTATATGAGAAAAACATCTCACAAAGGGAGATTATCAGAGTTAAGTAATTCATGTATCAAAAATACACAAAATGTATTATTTAAAAATAAATATATTACATTAAAACAAGATTTCAAATAATTATATGTGTAATTTGCAGTTAAAATTATTTAAGCTTCATGAAAAATATAGCATGGAAATACTATATAGTATCTATTCAGGATCTATAAGATTAAAAACCTACACAGAAAATTATCAGGAGATAACTTTATATCGTGTCGTTTCCCATTAAAGGACACATTTTTAAGACCTTTTCAGAGGCTGAAAGTAATATGCAAAATAAGAGAACGTATCCTAAATTCTAGGACAGAAAAAAAAGCTTTTCTACAGCAATGTTGATGCATCACAATTATTCAGATTATGTTGGGTCGTCACAAAAGTCATGATGCATTTTTGAGATGAAAAACATAGAAA